GTGGTGGTGGTGGTGGTGGTGGTGGTGGTGGTGCTGTCCCTGGCGTCGTTTGGAGACGGCTGACGTAATGATGGACGTTTCGCGTGTCCCCACCAGCCCATCCAGAAACGGCGCCCCAGAGAGTGTTTAGATGGGGAGGTTGAAGGAGGGGAGGAAGAGGAGCTTGGCATCGCTCGGACGTGTGCATTTTTTCTCTGCGAAAAAACACGCACGAAACCGAAACAAAAACACAGGCAATGGACGTCCGAGCGATGGCGAGGGAGGGGAAGGACGAGGAGGAGCGGGAGCAGCCAGAGCACCAAATGGAGGAGCGGAGGCGGAGTTGCAGGAGGGAGCGTGAGGAGGACGAGGAAGAGCATGAGGAGGAAGAAGGGGAGAGGAAGATAAATACTACCCTCGTCAAAAATAACCTCAACAGTTGCTGGCACGTCATTTCGATTTCGGCGCGCCCCTCAATGTCGACACGCCGCTCCTTCAATGTCGGGGCGAGGGCAAAGATACTCTGACCGAAGTTGGCTCGAAAGTTTGACGTCGACCGACATTGGAGGGGCGGCGCATGCAAGTACCCCGCACTCATCGATACTCGGCCCCAGATCTTCCGACAAGCAGTTCAATCACGTCAGACATTTTTGAGGTAAATTTTGAGGAGGGTTGTAGGACGAGCAGGAGGAGTAGGAGGAGAAGGAGGAGGAGGAGGAGGCGGCCTTCGCGGACCTTCTTTTGCGTGAGATTCTTGGGACTCTCTGAGGGCCTTCTTGGGATTGTGTGCCGGGGCCGTGTTGGAGCTGTTTTTGGGGTGTCCTGGCCCTTTTGGGGCTCTTTGGGGGGGTCCTTGGTGGGACCTTCTCGGGACGATCTTGGGCCCCGTTGCTCAAAAAGAGAGGGGGAGCTGATTCGGATTCCTCCCCCGAACTTGCACCAAATGCATCTTGAGGGAATCATGGAGCGCTATTGGGGGCATCTTGGGGCCATCTTGGGCTCCTCTTGGGGCTTTCTGGGGCCATCTTGGGACCATCTGAAGGCCTGAGAGGACCATCGGAGTCGAAAAGGCGAGACGGAACTACGCATTCATGTCCTCTAGGTTTCGGGGCGATTTGGGCGGCGATTTGGGCATATTGGGGGAGGTCCGTGCTGGTCCCCCCAACCCCCTGGGGGCGAGATTGGGTAGGACGGGGTTCTGGAAGAGGGGGGAGAAGAACCCGTCATCACACCTGCGCCCACAGGGCTGTTGGAATCCTGGCGTTCGTTCGCCAGGCTAGGCGTTGGTGGCGTCACGCGCCGTCCCTTCCGCTTTGCGCCCAGGCCCTGCCGACCTCCTCAGCGGTTGTCCTAAACGGTGTTTGGGCGATTTCGTGGGCTGTTTGCGTTTCGGCTTCGTTTTGCAGCAGAGGCGGCTTGGAAAACAAGACGAGAACGAAAAACACAGCAGTGATCGTCTTGCCGTTGCTCGGACATAGGGGCTAACCTGTCGCGTGCTGAAATGGTGCAGAGTAAAAAACTCCGACTCAGGCGCGGTAGCAAACGAATCAGGCCGCGGACACGTGCAGAACAAGAAAGGCAGAGACACAGGCACAGACTACCGTGGCCCTCGAGGGCGAGGGCAACCCGGCCCGCGGCGCCCTGGAGAGGAGGAGCTGCCAACATCACTATACTGCCGTGGCCGCGCCCTGCTCCTCCTCCTCCGCCCCGCCGCCGCCTGCCGAACGTCTCCGTCGTCGTCGTCGTCGTCGCCGCCGCCGCCGCCGCCGTCGTCGTCGCCGTCGTCGTCGTCGTCGTCAACGTCGTCGTCGTCGTCGTCTTCGTCGCCGTCGTCGCCGTCGTCGTCGTCGTCCTCCTCCTTCTCAGTTGTCTCGGCTGCAGGCGCCCCGCTGCGCGCCCCCGCGGGGCCGCGCGGCCGCGCCGCGCCGTCATGGCCGTGCCCCCGCCCCACGCCCCGCGGGCGGGGGGCCGCCCGCGGGCCGCGCCGCCGCGGGAGCGCGTGGTGGCGCCCGACGGCCGGCCCGCGTCCGCGGCGGCGGCCCTCGGCGCCCGCGCCGCCACGCCGCGGGCGGCCCCCGAGCCGCAGCCGGGCCCCGGCGAGGCCCCGCGGCACGCGCGGCGCGCCGAGAGGGCGCCCTCGCCGCGGCTGCAGACGCTCGGCGAGGCGCTGGGCCGCGCGCGGGCGCCCAGCTCCGGCCGCGGCTCCCCACGGAAGCCGCGGCCCGCCAGCGACCTGAGCACCCGGCCGCCCACCGCCGACCCGGCCTGCGGCGTGGCCTTCGCCTTCGCGGCGGAGGCCGCGGAGGAGGCGCGGCCGCACAGCGCGGCGGAGGGGCGCAGGGGCGCCCGCAGCCCAGCGGAGGGCGGCGGGGCCGCGCCCTGTGCCGGGCAGGGGCGCGGGCCCGAGCCCGCGGGCGCCGAGGGGCGCCTGCCGCAGCTGAGCGCCGCGGAGCGCGGCGTGCTGCACGTGGAGGAGCTGAGGGGCTGGGCGCTGCAGGCCTGCGCCCACGGCGTGAGCCCGATGGCGGGCGTGGCCATGGACGTGGCCCAGTTCCAGCGCGAATGGGCGGTGGCCGAGGGCCAGGGCAAGCCCTGGCTCGACGCGGCCGCCGGCGGGGAGGCGATGCCGCGCGCGCCGCGCAAGACGGCGCAGGCCGCCTCCCTGCTCCTGCGGCTGACGCGGGCCCTGCCGCGCGCGGACCTGCTGCGGGGGATGCTGGAGCAGCTGGCCGAGGAGCTCGTCCCGGCGATCTACCGGGACTGGCCGGCGCACGCCTCCCTGGGGGACCTGTCCGAGGCGGACCTCCAGGCGGAGAGCATCGACAACATGACGCCGTACTTCGCGCTGGTGGCGGGCCACCGCTGCCTGAGAGAGGAGACGGGGAACGAAGAGTGGCAGGACCATTCCAGTCTCGGAGGTCCAGCGCGGATCCGAGAGGTCCGCGCGGACCTCTCAGTTGTTATGTTTCGGCCACGCGCAGAGGGGGGTAGGGGGAGGGGGGAAGGCTTCTTAGAAGCACCCCTGCTTAGAAGGCGCGGGTCTTCTCCATCATGTAAGGCCCGCGCCTTCTAAGAAGCAGCCTCCTTCTAAGAAGCCTTCCCCCCTCCCCCTACCCCCTTGTGCGCGCCGCCAAATGCTAGTTTGACTTATGGGAAAAAGGGGCCTCGTTCCTTATTTAGGGTTCCTTAGGTCAGCGCCCTGACTGTATGCTCGTGTCGCTCCTCGCTCCCCCCCAGAGGAGGCGGAGGCGCGGGCGGAGGAGGAGGCCGCGAGGGCCCGGGCCGCCGTGGGCAACGTGGCGCCCCTGGAGGCGGAGCTCGCCCGCGTGCGGCGGGAGCTCCACGCCGCGGAGGAGGGGCGGGCGGCGGCGGAGCGCGCCACGGCCGCCGCCGAGGCCTTGGCATCGCTCGGACGTGTACATTTTTCCTTGGGCGAGGGCCATCGAGGAGCATCCTCGATCACTTGGCGAAAAAACCACGCACGAAGCCGAAAAAAGCACAGGGAGTGGACGTCCGAGCGATGGCGAGAGGCGAGGATGGAGGCGGTCGAGGGCTCGTGGGCCGAGTTCCAGAGGCATCGGGGGTGGACAGACCTCCTACCCTGACACGTCGATTGGGGAATTGGCCGTTTTCGTTTCGCGAGAGGGCGTCGCGGCCGTCATTTTTGCGGGTCCAGGTCCGTCGGTTTCGGTCCCAGGCCGTTTTCGCTTAGGGGAGGTCTACTAAAGGGAGGTTTGTCCACCGCCGAAGGCAGACCCGCACGCTGCTGACCCAGGCCACCGAGGTGAGGCAGAGGGAGGATCGGCGGCGAGCGAGGGGGGGAGGGGGGGGGGGAATGAGAGGGAGGATGCCTGCTCAGGAGACGGCGGGACTTCTCAGAAGCCCTCGCGCCTTCCGAGCAGCTCTTTTGTCGTCTCCCAGGAAGGTTTGGGAGACTTCTGAGAAGGCCCGGGGACTCCCGAACCTCCTGAGAGGGCCTTCTCCTTCTCACTCCCCCCCCACTCGCTCGCCGCCGAGAGGAGATGCTGCAGGTGGAGGTGCGGCACCTGACGCTGGACAAGACTCGCGGCGAGGCCAAGTTCAAGAGGCTGTCGGAGGAGTTTTCGAAGCTGAGCGCCGAGGCCAAGGAGAGCGAGTACAAGTTCGCGAGCTGCCGCGCAAAGCTACAGCAAAAGGACGTTGAGACCATTCAAATGGCAGACCTGCGCGCCCAGCTCGACCGCCTCAAGAAGAACGCAATCCTCGACGGCCTCGACTTCGCGGAACGCATCGCGCGCGAGGTGTTCTGCAAGCCGACTTTGGAAGAGGCGTGCGGTGAGGCGGCGCCGAACATGCCCGTGGCCCCGAAGATGCCCGCCACCAACGCCAATGTGCAGAGGGCCCGGGTATTGCTGGACGTGATGGTCGGCATTTTGAAGGGCATGCGTACGGAGATCCAGGACCACCTCCGCCGTATCCGCGAGCTCAACCAGCAGTTGGGCGGAATGCGCCAGCTCGTGCCGCCCTGGAACTTGGAACTCGCGCAAGACCTCGAGAACTTCTACGACGTGGACGCGCCCATACACAGGCAGATCTTCTCCATGAAGGATCAGCGCTCCTTCGCTGGGCTCGGCACGGGCGAGGATGTGCCGAAGTACTTGAGGGCCGAGGGCTTCGTTAAGCACGTATTCGTGTCTGCCGCCACGTGCCAGGAGTTCATGTCCAGCTTCTTCCGGCACTTCTTCTCCGTGGAAGAGCGCCCGGTGCGCAAGTCCATCCTGGACATGAGCGGGCGAGAGGTGCAGGATCTCAGCACCGAGGCTTTCCACGAGGAGCTGCACATATACCTGAAGCAGCGCTTTGGAGGAGATGGGCAGGCGGTCACCGAGTTCGCCTACGCATTCATCTGCAGCCTAGAGGCCAACCGCGACGACCCCGACTTCGAGCTCTTCGACCTGATTTTGCGGGGAGCTGTGCATCCTTCAATCGTGAAGGACGAGGAGGAGCTCCTTCGCTGGCTGCGAACGCTGCTCGAGGACTGCCAGGAGCGCTACGACCCGTTCAACGCGGCCGCCGAAGGGAGCGCGTCGGGGAATCGGGAGTTGGTCACCCGACGGACAATTGCAGCCGTCTTGAAGGCCATATTCCCGGACAAGTCGCCGGCCCAAATGGACGAGCTGCGCCGGGCCACCCACGCCACGGTCGAGCAGCTCGTGGCGGCGGCAAAGGCGGTGGGCCCGGACAGGGTCCACGTGAGTGACTTGTTCGCCCAGACCGCCGACGGGACGCAGAGCGCGCTGATAGAGGAGATTCGCCGGCAGCACTACCGCGAGGTGGTCCGTTTCGCCGCCCGCATGGCGCGCCAGCTCAGCGACAGGGCGCAGCGGAAGGCCGCCCAGGCGGGCGACGACGGGCCCCTGACGGTGGACAGCGACACCCTGCGGAAGGTGCTGCAGGGCCTGGACGCGACCATCTCCAGGCCGCCAGAGCTGGACGAGGTCGGGCGGGGCCAGGACGAGGATACATCCGTTCGGCGTTCCGGAACCTCGGCATCGCTCGGACGTGTGCATTTTTTTCTCGGCGAGGACCATCGAGGAGCATCCTTGACCATTTGGGGAAAAACCGCGCACGAAACCGAAAAAAGCACAGGGAATGGACGTCCAAGCGATGGCGAGACATCCGTTCAGCGTTCCGGAACGCTCTCAGAGCGTTCCAGAGCGCTCTGAGAAGGCCACGGCGCCCGACACATCCCCAGGATGCGCTGGATCTCAGAGAGCCTCGGCTTATCCGTGCCCGCGTGTTCCTCCTCGTCCCGGCTTCGTCTCACGAGGCCGTGAGGCGGGTCTTCCCGCTCGCGGGTCAGGCGGGCGACCAGCCCCAGGATGATGGGCCCACGTTCTACCACCACTGCCAGATGTTGGAGAGGAAGGAGGAGGAGGAGGAGATGGAGGAGGCGGAGGTGGAGGACGAGGAGGAGGAGGAGGAGGAGGAGGAGGAGGAGGAGGAGGAGGAGGAGGAGGAGGAGGAGGAGGAGGAGGAGGAGGAGGAGGAGGAGGAGGAGGAGGGGGAGGAGGAGGGGGAGGAGGAGGAGGAGGAGGAGGAGGAGGAGGACCTCCCCATCCTCCCTTCTCCCCTGTCCTGCATCTGGTAGCGGTGGCGGAGCATCTGCCCAGCGCAGGAGCTCGGCGCCGTCCTGCGCGCCGTGCGCCGCAACACGCTGCTGCGCCCCGCGCGCCTGTGGCTGCGCGGCGCGAGGGCGAGCGACGTCACGAGCCTGCTGCTGGCGCCCCCAGCGCAGCTGGCGGGCGCCGCGCCACGGGAGGGCGCCGCCCAGGGCCCCGCGGAGGCCATCCCGCGGTGCCAGGCGCTGAAGGTGGTCGGAGGGCACTGGTGACCCAGACCCCCTCGAGTCATGAAAAAATCACGACGGGAGGTTTTTCATGATTTTTGGACTCTGGGGGCCCTTACCGGCCCTCGGGACCGTCAAAAGACGACTCAGGACGAAAAACCGGTCCCAGGGAATCGGTCCAGACCGCTGGGGGTCGACGTCATGAAAAATTCATGACGTCGGGGGTCTGGGGACACACACACACACACACACACACCAACCCAGAACCCCTGGAGTCATGAAACAATCGCGACGGGAGGCTTCTCGCCGTGTTCGGCCTCTGGAGGCCCCCACCGGGCCTCGGGGCCCTCAAGGAGCGGCGCAGAGTGGAGGACCGGTCCCAGGGAATATGTCCAGCCCTCTGGGGGGCGCCCCTTGGAAAGCTTTTTGGGGTGCCTTGGGAGTCTTTATGTTGGCATTCGGAAACATCGTGGGGGTGTTTTCGAGGCCCTCGTGGGCCGTTTTGGCGCCTTCATGGGCCGTCTTGGGCCTTCTTGGGCCGTCTTGGGGAGCTTGGGCCCGCTGGAGCCCCCTTTGGACCCATCTTGGGCACTTCCGGGGACCTCCCATGGCCCTTTTGGGTCTGTGCTGGGAGCCCTTGGGGGGCCTCTTGGTTCCATTATGGGCTGTCTTGGGGCTCTCGTGGGCTCTCGTGGGGCCTGGCTCGGCCGTCTTGAAGCTTTTTTGGTGGCCTTTTGGGGCGTCTGGAGGCGATCTCGGGGGCTTTGAAACCGTCTTGAAAGCTGATGAAATCCGAAAGGCGAATATGCTAAAATTGTAAGTTTTACGAAGGGAATGGGACGGTTTTTGTGCTTTGAAGTCCCCTTGGAAAGCTTTTTGGGGTGCCTTGGGGGTCTTTCGGGCCGTCCTGACGCAATTGGAGTCCCTCTTGGAGCGCTCTTGTGCTGCCTGGGGCCTCCCTTGAGCCTTTCTGATGACCCCTCGGATCGCTCTGGGTCTGCTAGCAAGGCGTTTGTGAACACCCGGAAAGCCGGGTGACCTTTTTCAAGGACGTCTAAGGGAGCCCGAGAACCCCAGATCCCGGGGGTCCAGTTTTTTTGGGGGGGATGGGTTTCCCCCCCCCCCGGGCTTGTAAAAATATAGGAAGAGGAGATATATATATATATATATATATATATATATATATGGCTGGCCGCGCGCCCCAGGTGGTGGACAACCCCACCGGGGAGGCGCGCTCCGCCGCGCTGGACACCGAGCAGGGGCTGCTCTCGGCGCTGCTCCCGGCCCCTGGCCAGCCGGAGGCCGCGCAGGCGCACGCGCCGGGACGGTGGAAATGGGTGCGGTCGGACCGGGCCAGGACGAGGACGCTCTCAGAGCGTTCCAGAACGCTCTCAGAGCCGCTGGATCTTAGAGATTCTCGATATAGCCTCACCAGATTTGATCCTTGTCTTGGCCGCGTCTTGCAAAGATGGGTGCGATGCCCAGCAGCAGCTCCTGCGCGTTTTGAACAGGACTCGGTATCTGCGCCGCCGCGGACGTTGCTCTCTGAAGACTAAGAGCCGCCTGCCCAACAGCGGCCGCTGTCGGTTTTGGACAACATGTGTTGTTTGGTATCGTTCGTACCCATGTTCCCCGTACCCACTTTCGGCGTCCACAACCAGGAGGCATCCAGCCCCGCGCCGCAGGGCTCTGTCGGCGACGCCCGGTCCGCGCACGGCGGCGACGCAGGCGCTCTGGCGGGGCCGGCGGGCATGCAGAGCAGGAAGCGGCATCTACACCGCTGCTCGACCCGGAGAGCCCTCGTCGCCACGGCTGGACTATCCTCGACGTTTTTGATATTTTGCGTATCCCCACCAGCCCATCCAGACACGATCGGAGGCTTTCTGGAGGCCTCTTGGAGGCGACTAGGAACTATCTTGAGCCAGGTTCCGCTAATTACGTAGAGGCTGTCGGAGGCTGTCCTGAGCCATGCTCAGCTATTTGGACAGTCTTGAGGTTGTCTGGAGGTCTCTTGGAGGTCTGTCGGAGGCTATTTTGAGCCATGCTCGACCTCCTGGGACCATCTTGGAGAGCCCTCGTCGCCACGACTGGATTCTCCTCCAAACTCTCCTCAGACCGGGAAGAGGCCCAGGCAGTGGCGGTCGGGCGTCGCGCGTAATGGGGGGGCGACGAGTGGGGGGCGCACGGAGGGCTCTGCCGAAAAGTGGTCCCGGGGGGCCCCCCACAGGGGCCCTTTCGGGGCCAAGAGGGGGCCGTTCGGGCCCGAAAATTCCCCCCCCCCCCCTCCCCCCCCCCCCCCCCCCCCCCCCCCCCCCCCCCCTTCCCCCCCTCCCTCCCTGCCCCCCCCCCCCTACGCATCGCCCCCCCCCGCGGAGCGACGCCCAGGGAGTGGCGGGGGCGGTGCACGCCTCGCCCTCCCAGGCGGCACGAGGTCCGCGCCGCCGACGTCCGTCCGGCGCCGGAGCCCCGAGGAGGAGAAGCACCCGCACCCGCGGGGCACGGGCGCGTGAGCCTGCGCCGCCGCGGTCTGGGGGGCGAGGGGGGCCTCGAAGCGAAGGGCCTCCCGGCCTTAGTGGGCCCTGGAAACGACAGGGCCGTTTTTTTACCGGTTCCGTTTTGCCGTTTTTGTTGCCCGTTCCGACGCCGTTTTTTCACCGGTTCCGTCGCCGCTTTCTGACCGGTTCCGGCTCCGGGTCCAATCCTGGAGACGTTTTTGGGGCGTTTCCTGTCGCCGTTTTTTTGCCGTTTCCATTTTCAAGGGACATTGGGTCGGAAACGATGAAAAAACAGCCCTGCCGTTTCCGGGGCCCAGAAAGGCCTCGAAGCGAAGGGCCTCCCGGCGCGGCCGCGGCTTCGGCCCCCCTCGCCATCTCCTCGGTGCGGAAAGACCCAGACCCCCCCGAGTCATGAACAGCAGACATGGCGGGAGGCTTTTCCACGTCTTCGGCCACTGGGGGCCCCCACCGGGCCTGGGGACCATCAAGGAACGACTCAGGGTGAAACGCCGGTCCCCATGGGAATGGGTCCAGACCTCTGGGGGCCGACGCAATGACAAAGTCATGACGTCGGGGGTCTGGGGAAGGGGCACACCGACCGACGGCATGTCCTGCGTCGAAGAAAAATTCCCCATAAGCATAAACTTAAGTCGGACCTGTCCCTCTACAGGGGGAATATCAACAAATAGTCAAACAAATAATATGGGAAGGATTTTTTTTGAGTTTTTATTATTACTATTTATGAGTATGTTTTGAATATGTTTCATGGTTCGTTCAAAACCCGCCTGTAGGAGGACATGCCCGACATGCCCGGCAGCGCCTCCGGCGCCGCCCCTTGCGCGCTCCGCGCGCCAGGCATGGGGGTCCAGCGCAGATCCAAAAAAATCCGCGCGGATCTCCGAAGGTTATGTTTGTGGAGTTTGTTCTTCTTCTGGCAAAGACCGACAGTTTTTTCCTTTTCATGTGAACAGGACTCGCTGTCGGTGTCGGTGCAGACGTCCGTTCGAGGCAGAAGGCCGCCTGCCCAGCAGCGGCCGCTGTCGGATTTGGACAACATGTGTCGTTGTGCATTGTACCCATGCTTTCTGTGCCCTCTTCGGGCGTGCAAAGCATCTGCCTCGTCTCTACCTGTAGAGTGTCACCACCATTGCCGTTCCCGTGTCCCCTTGAGCGAGTGCAGTTGGCTGATAGGCTGCCGGAGCGCGAAGCGCACACGGCAAGATGGCGCGATACCATATTGCGCCAGGTCGAGCAAAATCATCCTTCTGCTCCTCTTCCTCCATCCCCTGGTCCCGGGCTCTGGGGCCCAGTGCAGTGATTGCTAATTCAATTCATTGCAGCAGTCAGGTTGACTCGTGGTGCTGAAGTCATAGGAACGGTGTTCTGGCACGATTCATGGTTCTCGAATAACGAAAAACTCTTCTCAAAATTGAGGGCCGCCCGGATTTGATCAAAGTTATGATGTGGAAATTGTAGTGTTGCCTTGGCCGGGCCGTGGCGAGGCCTCTCCCCTTTTTGGGAGTCTGGGGTTTGAGCTGACTTGCGGCGATAGTCTTTCACTGGGCCACCTCCTGCAAGGAAAGTATTGTTCTTCGGGGGGGCCATGAAGAGTGGACTTGGGCGCAGTCTGGATTGCAACGTCGTTGATGCGTCTTGGGTTTACACTGGTCCTCCTCCCCTCCTCATCCTCCTCCTCCTCCTCCTCCTCCTCCTCCTCCTCCTCCTCCTCCTCCTCCTCCTCTCTAGGCCTTCCGTAGCCATTTTGGCTCAAGCCGCTGGCGTCATTACGGCCCGCGCAATCACGTGCAGAAGCCGCCTACCCAGCTCGATCGTTTCCCGACCGCTCCAGAGGGCCATGGCGCTGCCCATGAAGACCGCGATGAAGACTGGCATGAAGGCCGCGATGAAGACCAGCATGAAGGCTGCGATGAAGAAGAAGAGCGTGAGCATTATCGCCAAGGGCGTGCAGGCCAAGAGCCAAGTGTTGAAGGGTGCGAAGGTGAAGACTTCGGGGGGCCTCACGAAGGATGGTCTCATGAAGAACAAGCGTGGCAAGGTCGTGTCGAAGAAGAAGCACGCGGCGGGCAAGAAGCTTTTCGCTGCAGTGAAGAAATGGGGCGAGTGCGTCGCCAAGGCGAGGGCTGCACTCGGCCTGAAGGGCTTCGTGGCTATCAACGGCAAGAAGCCGGAGGGAAAGGCGCTTTATGCCAAGGCCAAGGCTTTGTACGCCCAGGCGTAGTGAGGGATTTCGAGGTCATCCGCTTTAGGTCATGAGTAGGATGCGTGGTCGTTCACGGTCCTGCGTTCACGGGCCTGGGCGTGTTTTTACGTCATACGTGTGTACACTACTTGCAGACCACCTCGCGCAAAACGTAAATCTCCGAAGAGAGGGCGGGCGCCTTCGCAGAGCTCGTGACAGAGGGGTGCCGCTGCGATCCTCCTCCTCTCTAGGCCTCCCAGGTGGGGTCCGAGAGGATGGGGTCGGAGGTCAGTGGGCCGCTCCGCCTTCTCCTCCCCGCTCTCATGC